CCCAAGCCCTTGCCTGCGATGCGATTTAGAAGCTCAGAAGCCCTTTTTTCCTAAGCATCTCGAATTTAGGGCTCAGGGTTTAGGGCCTTTCTGTTTAGGGTTTAGGGTTTAGGGCTCAGGATTTCGGGGCTTTCTGTCTAGGGCTTAGGGCTTAGGGCTTAGGGTTCAAAAGGGCGTAGAGTGTAAGTCTGTAACCAACTTTTTGCAGCTTTCCCTTCTACATCCCTCCGCAGATGGAGACGACAGGCAGCTTCAGCCTTGCTAGCTCCTATCTCTATATCAGCCTTGCTAGCTCCTATCTCTATATCTGAATCGCTACCTTAGTTTAGGGTTTAGGGTTTAGGGTTTAGGGTTTAGAGTTTAGGGTTTAGGGTTAAGGGGTTTAGGGTTTTTGGGAGTTTAGGGTTTAGGGTTTAAGGCTATCTTTACATACAAATACATAATCAGACTATACTACATCCCCGAACCCTGTCCGAAAACTTCTTCAACATCCAATACCAGCCGGCATGCAGGCGAGCGGGGCATTAGTAATCCCGCAAATCTAAGCCCCAATCGCGGAACCCCACACCCGACCCTCAACACTGAAAAGCAGCCAAGACTCCTTGGCCCTTTTCACAGAAGCTTGCCTCCTTCAGCGACTGCAGTATATTGTGCCTTTCCCTCTTCACTCGCCATGCACCCTGGATTGCCGTCTGCCTGGGCATGGGTATAGCTTGATGTACGCCTGGCCAGGATTAGTCTTCGAACCTCTTCGCTGGGGGCAGTGGGACTTTGGAGCCCTACCCGGAACCCTAAGCCCTAGACCCTAAACCCCAAACCCAAGTAGCCGTAGGTAGCATACAACCCAAATAGAACTGAGAACAGCGAGCTCGCAGGTCCTTTTAATAAGCCACTATAAGAACCCTCCCCCAAACCCTAAACCCTAAATCCTAAATCCTAAACCCTAAACCCACTCGTTTTCAAACCCTTTTCGAAGCCCTAAACTGCCCTTAGAGAGCAAGCCGAGGGGCAGTGCCACGGCACAGGTGATATGCGCTAAGCCGATGCTGAGGAGACCCTCCCAATCCATGGAGCCGTGCGCAACCATTCCTGAGCTCGTTGAGGGTATCGGTTTAGGGATTAGGGTTTAGGGTTTAGGGTATAACGTTTAGGGTATCGGTTTACGGTTTAGGGTTTAGGGTTTAGGGTTTAGGGATTAGGGTTTAGGGTTTAGGGTTTAGGGTTTAGGGATTAGGGATTAGGGTTGAGGGTATAGGGGTCTACAGTGTACGATTCAGGGGTCTAGGGGGTTTGGGGTTCAGGGTTTGGGGCATGGTGTCTTAATCTTAAGGTTCATGTACCGACTTGCATTGATGGACTTGGGCCCTCGGGCGGTTCGTGTATACATACGCATGTATGTATGCATAAACCCTAAACCTTATACCCTAAACCCTAAGCCCTATACCGTAAACCCTAAACCATAAACCCTAAACCCTATATAAACCCTAAACCCCAAACCCTAAGCTTGCGACGGGACGCCGGGGACATGTAGATTTTTTCAGGTCTGGGATTGCCGTCTATGACAGCTATTTCAGGACTCAGGTCTGCAACTAATCTAGGGGCCTACATCAGTACCAGTACTGTGTTGGGGGCTCCTTATTCTAGCTATAGCAAAATATGTACCCCACAACCCCATTGAAAGTACTGAGGCCCCTATATTAAGTCAGGGTTTCGGGATTCGCTTCGGAATTTAGGGTCGGGGATGGTCTAGCACAATCGATTTGGGGATTCAGGGTTTAAGGGTTTAGGGTTTTTGGCCTAGGGTTCAGGGTTTAGGACGGGGCTTTTTGTGCTTCAGGTTCACGGGCTCTGGAATTGTGCATTAGGGTGTGGGCTTCGTGTTGCGGCTTGGGCAGAAAGAAAACGTCTTTGCACGATCTGCGGGATAGTAGTCCGGAAAGAACATAGCCCCCGATGGTCATGGGTTTTCCTTTGTTCGAGTCAAGGCAGACATACTTCATAGCAAGCAAAGGCTGCAGACATTTTATATTCCAATTAACACGACGGTCCCGGGGAGGTCGAAATTATGCATCCGAAAAATGGGCACGCTGAGATGGAGGCACATCCCGAAGAACACAGCCCCACCTCAGACCACTGATGGACAGCACAAGGTTTGGGATTACTAAATCCTGAATCTCAGAAGGCTGTTGTTTTGTATCAAAATCCTATACTGTTGGCCTGTAAACTCCAACCCGGAGCTGTTCCGCAACCTTCGAAAAAGATGCGGTTCAGGGCGAAGACCGTGGTCCGTGCCTCTGGTGATGCCGAGTGCAGGATGTGTCGGGGTCAGCATTTGCGACTGAAACTCGGGTGCAGGGAGTCGATGGAAAGTAGGAAGAGATGTTGAGCTCTTGTCTGGTCTGCAAAGGCTTTTGGGGTTTAGGGTTTGGGGGGTTGAGGGTTTAGGGTTTAGGGTTTAGGGTTTGGGGTTTGGGGTTTGGGGTTTAGGGATTGGGGTGAACCAAGAGCATGAAATCAACTGCGAGTGGCAAGTTCGACGACTCTAAACGTGAATCTCGACAGGCTCAAAACCTCAAATCCCGCAGCATTGAGCTGCGAAGCCTTGAGCTGCTACTAGCAAGGCATGATGAGAGCGTTGCATTCTAGATCCATCGTCATGATATTAGAAGACCCCAACACTCGAGAATGCCAATCAAGCTGAACAGCGACAGCGAGAAGCCCCAACTATGCTGCAAAGCGCCCATCAGCAGCATGAGAACAGCACGACAACACCATCCCTGCACCCTCAATATCGAAGCCAAAAAATTTGCAACAGTATTCCGTAGGGCTCCTTATCATAAGTATAAAGGGGCCCAAACCCTATTCTCATTAATTATTACTGCACCCACATTAATCCGTCAAACCGAAACCCTAAACCGCCTGGAGCTTCGTGCAATTCGTGATGAAGCTGATGCAGATGATGCGTAGCAGGAGCTGTCGGAGCCTTGAGGGTTCAATTCCTCCTTTAGGGTTTGAGAGTTATAAGGATTTAGGGTCCAGAGTTCATAGGGCTTAGGGTTCAGGGTTTTCTAGCGCTTGGGGGTTCAAGGTTTGAGAGTTATAAGGGCTTAGAGTTTAGCGTGTTTAGGGCTCATTAGGATTCAGGGTTTATGGGTTTATGTTTTGAGGGTTCAGGGCCTAGGATCCATCCTCTTCTTCTGTGAAAACCGTAGATTTCTCTGTGGCTCACAGGTTCTGAATGTGCAAATCGCCTAGGTACGGCTAAACATCCCAAACCCTAAACCCTAAACCCTAGACTTATAAACCCTAAACCCCAAAACAAACCCTAAGCCCTTAAGTTGAAGTCCGACTGGCTCGCTTTGCGTGCGCTTTCAGGCTGTCAAGCTGTGGCCAGGAGCCTAAACACCAAACTCCTAAACCATGAACCCTAAACCCTGAACCCTGAACTCTGAACCCCAACACCCCAAATCCCTAAACCCTAACCCAGTAGACCCTACAACCCCAAATTTTTCAACCCTAAACCCCTAAACCCGAAGCCCCTAAACCCTAAAACCCGAAATCTTTCAACCCTAAACCCTGAACTGGAGCCAACGCCAGAAACTCTTCGGGTCACTTGGAGACTGTCTGAGTCCACCTGACGCTTCGGGACTCCCTGGGCCATGTCAGGGCAGTTCTCTAAGTCAGGGTCCCTTTTTAGGGTTCCCTTTAAAGGGATCTATAAGGGGGTGCTAGAAGAGCTCTATGTGGGTAGTTCTCTAAACTGGGGTCCCTTTTAGGGTTCCTTTAAAAGGGATCCATAAGGGGTGCTAAAAGAGCTCTATGTGGGTAGTATTCTAAATTAGGGTCCCGTTTAGGGGTCATGTTTTCATAAGGGTGCCGGTAGTACATTGGGGACCTCACAAGGGGACCCTAATTTAGAGAACTACCCATGTGCGTTTGAGGTGGTAAGGTATGGGAATTAGGGTTCAGGCTTTTAGGATCTATTGTGCAGCGTCCTGGGTTTTAGGGTTTAGGGTTTAGGAACTTAGGATCTACTGTGCTGGGTCTTGCGTTTTAGATGTCGGGCTTGGCCAGTGGGTTTGGTCACAAAGGATATCCAAGAAGCTCCACCTTTTAGGGTTTAGGGTTTAGGGTTTAGGGTTTAGGGGTTTAGGGTTTAGGGTTTAGGGGTTTAGGGTTTAGGGGACCCTAAACCCTGAGCCCAAAGGATATCATCCAAGAAGCTCCATGCTGAGGATCTGCAGTGCTCTTGGATAGTCCGGCTTCTCGTTGGAGAGCTCCTTGGATTGCTTTTGTGGGGATGACAAAAAGAGCACAAGCAATTCTGAAGACCTCAAAGCGCTATCCCTCCCGAGTCCTACTTGGAGGTTCATGGGTAG